TAAGTGAGAATGTTCACTGTCTCCTGCTTTCTCTTTGATTTTCTAGATTATCTGCCGCTGAAGAAAGTTTGTATCTTTAATTGTATGCATTGATCTCATAGATATGTTAGAAGAGTTACCGATATTTAAAAATTGGGAAACTTTTCACAAAAGTCCAGACTCTTGGCTTCACTTGAAAATATCAGATGGTTTGGTAATCAATCCTTGGCCCTATTTTCCACATTTGTGCAGTTCCAAAGGGAACAACCTTTAAACCTTGCGTTGTCTACCATGTCCTTCCTATTTCACTCATTGCATGTAATGTTTCTGATCCCTGTAGCATTTGAGCTTATCACATGCACACTACACATACTCACTACTCTAAGGCAGCATTTATACAGTGACTGAACTATATCTCCAAGGATATAACCACCTGGGAGCTACACTGTTATGGGCTGAATTGTGCCCTCACCCCAAATTTATATGTTAAAATCTTAACCCCCAATGTGATTGTATTTGGCAATAGAACCTCTACGGAAGTAATTAAGATTAAATGTGGTCATAATGATGGGACCCTAGAACTTATGTCCTCATAAGAAGAGAGACACACCAGAGATCTCACTTTCTTTCTCCACAGGAGCACAGAGGAAAGGCATGTGAGGACACTGAAAAGGAATTATCTGCAAGCTAGGAAGAGAGCCCGTATCAAAAACTAAATTTGCTGATGCAGTTGTCATGAACTGCTGGCCTCTAGAACTGTGAGAAAATAAATGTCTGTTGTTTATCTGTGAAGTTGTTGGAGATTCTCCAACATGTCTACGAGGATTATACCCATTCTATAATCTTTTCTTAAGTTAATAGGGAATGGGGTTGGTGTTGGAAAGTAAAGGAACTACAATATCTTTAAGCAATAAAATATTTACAGTATACTACAATTGGCTGCTGAAAGTACTTTTCTTTTCTTTGGGGCCATTTTGAATCCTCTGGAAAGAGGAATTCAGTTGTTCCCTATTGTCCATTCACATTTTAACCAGAAGTTGATAAAAAGGAAAGCTAAAGTCTCCACCGTAAAACCACAAACAATTCAAGTCTATGTTATTCTAGCTAGCTGGCTCTTTGCCACTATGTGAGGGCTCTTTGCTTTTTCACTTGCACAGCTTTTAGAAAGAATATTTAAGAAATTATACACCACTGGTTTTTTTCTTTTGGCTTTTAAGCTTTCTTATCAGTGAACTACTATAAACCCTATTATTTACCAATTTACTATAACAAATCAATCACTAATATGTTTCAGAATATTTAAAAGACCTTTGACAAAGGTAATTGGGAACAAGATAGAAGGTAAATGACCTGAGTCTTTGTATCATTAGCTACATGACCTTGATAAACCAATATTTCTAAATTTTTGTTATTATATCTGCTAAGTGAAGGCATTAGACTAAAAGAACATTTCTTAAAATATTACAGGAGTAAGTTAATCATCATTGTAGAGAAAAAAAGTGAGGAAATCAATGATGAAAAACGCTTACAAAGCAATGGATTAAATAAGGTTAAGCAGATTCTACTTTGAACTGCAAGACTTCTCAGTACTTTTGATATGCTAATATTCATCTTTACTCTCCAAGAAGAGCTATGATTTTCAGTGCTTCTCAAATGTATATAACCTCAGAAAACTGATTTTTTATTTAGAATATCTACTATTAGACAAAAAACACTGGAAAAGTCCAAACTATGTAATATCTGAAAGGTCTTTAAACAAATAATATGATAAATTTTTTGATGCATGTAATGGGTTCCTTTTAAACTCACATTTCTATATTTTATAAGCTGATGTGGTTATTTCTGCCATGTATGTGAAATATTGATTGAGTTCCTGCAGTATGTTAGGCACTGGGGATACAAAGATGAGTTATATTATTCCACATTCAAGTGTCTCATACTCTGTGTGAAATATGCATGTAATGATGTAATTGCTGATGTGACTGCACAACAGGAAAATGAACAACATGCTACAGGAGCACAGAGAAGGTGTGTTTTGAAAACGATCAGAAGACGATGCTACAAAAGACTTTTTGGACTTTAAAATGCTATCTGCTATGTTTTATGAGTGTGTTTTATAGTAGAATAAAATTTGCCCACTTGGCATTTTCTGTAGTTGTCTTCTATGTCCCACTATGTAGAATTTAAGACGCCAATTTTAAAAGGTTGAGGCAAATAAGCAGAGAACAAGTTTTCTATGATCTCAATTATAGTAATTTCCTTTTTGTTGAATAAAAATTAACAAAGAAGTAATACTTTATAGCTGTTCTTGCCTATCCTCACTTAGAATGGATATCAGAATTTAAATAAATTTATAAAACGATGTCCCATATAAGAAGGTATCTTAACAGAAATGCTTATATAACTACAGTATTTAAGATCAAGCATTTTAAAATTATACACAGCCTGAGTCACTTGCTGAATATAGGACTTTAAAAGCCCTTCAGACTTATTTATAATGAAAAGGAAACTTCTTTCTGCTAATAAGAGGATTTGCACTTATGATCTTATTGCTTTTAATTTATACAAATGACTAAAGTGGTTTTGTACTTCTTAAACCACAAAATTCTTTTTAAAACCCTTTATATAACCTTCTAAAACTGCATTTACTAAACCGACGAAATTTATCTTAAGTGCAACAAGTCATTATTTGATGTAATTTAAAGATTAGTGTCATTAATATATTTTAACACTTTGATATTCTCTTTCTCTTGACAGAACACAAATAATAAAGACAATGAGAATTTCAAAATGTCATTTTTTAAATGTCTAAATGTTCATGCTAAGTGTTTATGTTTTTGTAGGCTTGATTTCTATTTGTTCATTTTAACATAGTGATGCTTGAACTTTAATATACATAAGAATTACCTGAGCTGGCTAAAGCTCAGATTGCTGGGCCTTCCCCCCAGAGATCCAAATTCAGTAAATCTTGGATGGAGCTGAGACTGTGCATTTCTAACAAGTTCCCAGACAATGCTGATGCTGCTGGTCCAGGTACTGCACTTTAAAAGCCACTGTTTTCACGACCCGAATTTATTAGACACAAATCTGGTCTCTCTGTTGTCCTGAGGTTCCTCAGCCAGAGCCCAATCTGGGTCCTTAATGGAGCAAGGAGAGTTGATTGTAGTTGTCTACAAACTAAAGTCACTTTTGTGTTGATTCCTAGGTTCTACCATCACAACCTCATTTGCTAAACACTAGCTGATTTTCCCTGCTTTGATGTTTTCCACTGGTTATCAGTTTCAAAATGCAGCCCACACTTTGGATTTTTTCCCCTATAATCACTGTTTCCTACTTTTTCACATAACCCTTTTCTTCTCTTTCATAGTATCCTTGCAGTCCACTGCCTCCTTCCTGGCCTCATTTGCCTCTACCCAACTGGACCCTACTGCTAGCCTAGATGAACATATAGCCTAGATGAATAAATAGCCTCTATTGATACATTTGTTCCTTCACTTTACAATTATTTATTAAAAGCTCAACATGTAAAGAATATGACAAAGACTCTGCACTCACGAGTTTACATTGTAATGGGGGAGATAGAAAACAAACACATAAGCAAGTAAGTGTGTATACTTAGGGAGTGATATGTGTACAGTGAAGAAAATAATACAAGGTAGTGGGTAAGAAAGGGACTGGAAGGAAGTGTATTGGAGCTACTCTGGAAACGCTTCTCTGGGAAGGTAGCATTAAGCTGAGACGGAAATAATGCGACGAAGGCAATAACGCAAGAAATGTAGAAAAGGACATTCCAGGCAGAGGAAGCATCAATTAAAACCTCTGAGATGGAAATGAGCTTAGGCTGTTCAAAGGTCAGAAAGAAGCCCAGCAGGACTGAAGTTAATGAAAGCTCAGGGAAGGAAGATGGTTGAAGAGAAGTTTGGGGGTGGGGGCAAAATTTGTCATAAGCCATTTGTAATTAACGTGCGTCTCTCTCTCTCTCTCTCTCACTCACACACACACACACACACACACTCTCACGGTATATAGGCTGGGAGACTAGGAGATGTCTAGGGTGAGAACTGATAGCCAACATGAGTTGGTTATCATGAGTTAAGATATCAGCAGCAAATGAGTGAGGAGAAACTGAAGACTAATATCAGAATTTACGGTCTAGCCTTCGAGGTTGGTTGTACAGAAATGCACATAATTCTTATTTCAGAAAGTGGATACATTGAGTCTTAATCATCTATCTTCTTCATAAATGCTGAATTAAAGAACTAATCTAGGTATTGATATTTCATGGTTTTGGAAATGGGCAATCCCTTCCTGCTCAATAAAGCCAAAATTCTGAGTGACGAGGGAGCAAAATCAGGTCAGGAATATGTCTTAACAGCATTATTTTACAAAGGCGATGTTCTCAAACAGTGGTGATTCTGATAAAATCAGCAGAACAATTTCCAGCAAAATATATCTAGTATTTGAAGCGCACACGCGTGCATGCACGCGCGCACACACACACACACAGACACACCCCCACCTTTAAGTAATTTGAGGCAGTGGAGAAGCAAAAATTAGCCTAAAGCAAGAGTTGTATGTTTCCAACAACACCCTCAAGAAAACCACCAAGCTTATTGTACTTGATGATTTGAAATATGTTTTAGTCTTTTTATTAATAATATAATAATATAAAGCCTTCAGGTAAATCTGAGGGCATCTGAACTGAAAGAAATTTATTAGCCAGTGTCCCTGTCTAATAAGGAAAATAAATCTATGTTTATAATTTTGCTTTTAAAGATAATAAAATTTGCCACTACATAACCCGAAATTTTAAGAATATTGTCACTAGCAACCCAATTTTTTGGTATTATAGAGCTAAAATTGTCTTGCAAATTAAACTTAGTTTTTAAAATACTCCAAAATAATTATTATTTCAAAATAAAGACTTTAGGCTTACACTGTTCATAAGAATTTTCTCTTATGATGCTATTTGTGAAACTGCTTCATGCACTCCTAGCCCTCGTATGTACCGATAGCATTACCTGTCTGCATCCACTGTCACATCATGGACCCCTCTCTGGATGACATCCCTGGAAGTAGCTGTGTCTGGCATTCGGTTCAGACTTCTGGTATACAGGTTGAGCCCTCCATCTGTCATGTACCTGAAAAGAAATGTCTAATTGATCAACAGAAAATTAAATAAACTCATCTCAATAAACTGTGTTAAAAATTTTCAATAATTTCCCCACTGTATTATAGGGGTTTTTTTCTGTATAAACTTTCTACTCACCAGGAAGAATTAAAATATCTTTTCAAGTTCATTAGGAAATCAATATTCCTTACTTCAACAAGTAACTAGCTAATTATAAAACCTATTTTTCTCTTTTTTTATCAATTTTTAACAGGTTTGTGATAATATAACTCTTAGTAAAATAAGAGCAAGATTTCATTTTGTAAATACCATTTTTGAAGATTTGAAGGTCCTGGGATCAATGGATTCAAAATCTATGTTTCTACCGTATCTTTCACCATATGCTTCCACCATATCTGCCATCTTCCTAGAATTCTGTTTTTATATCCAATATCTTATATCAGTTGTTACATGTCACAATTAGCTAATTTTTAATTGCATGCACACACAGGGAATCTAAAGGGATCCTCACCACTCCCTCAAAAGAACTCCAGTTCAGCATCTTGTTTTAGAGGAGCACAGATAACATTAAGAAATGCCCCCTAGAACAAACATGCTGTCTAAGAATATTATGCTAATAATGAATGACTACTGTGAACTTTTTTTGATTGTTTGGAAAAAAATCAAGCTCCTAGGAGAGAAACCATTACTACGTCTACATGGTCAGCGTGTCCCGATGGTTAAAAGTGCAGACAGACGCCAGACTGCTTAGGTTCAACTAAGTGCTGTTACTTCCTAGCTGTGTGGGCCCAGGCAAGTCACTTAAACTACCTATGCCTCAGTCGCTTCATCTGTAAAATGGAGATAATAATGATATGCTTACTTCTTATAGTGACAGTGAGATATTAATCAGTTAATATATATAAAGTGCATAGAGCACTGTCTAGCACATCATAAATACTTTATAAATGCTGACTTAATATTATCAGCTATTTTTTGCATTAGAATTTCTACATTGACTAAAAATAGTTCATATCTTGAATATGAAATTAGAAGCATTAAATTAGGAATCTGTGGTGCAAAAAGGTAGATCCTTTCAACGCAGCTCAGGCAGCACTGAACTTTCACACGCTGTTATGTACACTTCAGTCAACACAAAGTTTCCTAAAGGAGAGTTGAGGGAGGATTAAGGCCTCCTGTCCACTGCCTTGTTTTTACATTTCACTCTTAAAAATTCATGGATTATTTTGTGTTCAGGTTATGTGACAAAGGGGAATTTTAGGTTATATTCTTGACCCAACTATTTATCACTATGACAAAATAACTTCAATTTCTACCCAATTAAAATATATAACTTTTCTCTCAATTTTCCAGGGGTTCCTTTTTTACTTCATAAACGGAGACTTTTTCAGAGACTCATTATAAGAAAGAGGGCTTTCTCTGACTAATTCCTAATTACTGACAGATTCATATCCCCAAGTGTTTAAAGTAATTTCAGAAAGAGAAGAGATAAGCCTTTATATGCTCCAAGAAATTTTGAATTCTCAGAATGCTGATTAACTAATTTTCTGAGTTATACCTAGAGTACATGAAAAAAATGAAAATTCATTCTCCTTACATTGACGTCAGTGCATTCTTTGTGATGACATGAGAAAAAATTCTTAAATTAAACATCTTCATTCATTAGTGTTTCTATGAGCCTTTTGTCCCATTAATCCATAAAACTTATTTTTAAAAATTTTGAAGAGAAGCTTAACTTTGTGATTCAATTTTTTTTCGTGAGTTGTAGCACAAACATTTCTCAGCCCTTTTTTCTTCTTAAAGAAAACACCATCAAATTAAACTTTTCCCGGAATTTTTTTCAGTCCTCTCATCTTCCACCATTTTAGTTCTAGGCTGAGATATTGGGCTGCCTCCTAAGGAAGCCAGCGATAGCATACACTGGTTAGCAACAAATAAGTCCAGCATGTCCTGGGTCTTCTCCACACAATAACTCCCAATCACCCTTGAGCTGAGTCACATCACCTAATGACCGTGTGTAGTCACCTTCTACACAGGGAAAAGAACTGAATCATGCTTTAAATTTCAGTGTCCTATACTCTGCCATGGGAAAGAGAAAAGTTATAAGGCCAAGCATGTATTACCAGAGGAGGTTTCCATATAGGATTTGGGGTATATCCACTTGGTCAACACCAAACATGTAGACCATTGATGCATATTTAAATGGGCTCATTTGTGAGTCTATCTAAGACCTCCTTGAAAGACTGATAGGGAACGAAAATGGAGGAGACAAAAGTTTGAATCAGGTTTCAAATGAGGCACGAAACAAGTACAAAGGACAAAATATATAACAAAATTTTTTTTTTCTCATAGTGAGATCAGCAGAGACCAGCGTGCTCTCCTCAATCCAATTTCCTCCTCCTCCTGGGCACACAGCTGAACCATATTTCCTCCCCTCCCTTACAGTCAGATGTGGTCATGCGGCTGCTCTGGACAAAGAAATGTGAGTAGAAGTTATATAACTGACTTCCAAGCCTGGTATATACAAAAAATATTCTCATGCCATCGTTCTTCCTCTCTTTCTCCATTTGCCTCTTGAATGCCAATGCCCAGGGTGACTTTGGAAAACTGGTTGGATAATAGCAGAATGACCATCCATCTTATTCACCAAATGACTACATGGGACACAGTCCCCAGTGGAAGATCAGAAATATCACTGAAGGTTTTACATGAAGAAGTAATGAGCTTCTTTGTGTTAAGATACTGAGATTTTGAGATTTCTCTGTTAAAAAATTAGTTTTAACTAATATAGCTAGTGTCCTGGAAAATACATAATGCTCCTGAGTATAGGTATGCTTGTAATATATATTATTATATGCAGAACTCAGATGTTAAAAAACACTGCCTTTTAAACAATTACTTATCTATCTCCCACATGAGTTATTTTCCTTCTTTTATCCCTACCAATGTCTCCACCATATTTCTGGCCTTATGACATTGATCTTGAGTTCTTCCAATAGTTCTTGAAATCTAGCCCTGGGGCTTCTCCCTTTAATTCATTTTGCATGCTTCCCTTAAACTGGCCTTTCAGAAACCATCAGCATCCACATGCCCTTTTCTGTGGCTATTTCATAATCTCTAAGAAATAGATTTTTCATTGCTGAAAGTACAGTTTAAACTTCTTAGCATAATGATGTTGAGGCCTGTCACAATAGTCCCTATTTCTCATATCTTATCTTTATATATTCACTTTCCATGATTCTCAAGAAAAAGGTCATTGAATATCATCTAATCCAACTGACTCTCTGATCCTGAAAATTATACTTCAGTCAAGTTTACTGAATGACTTATATCATCTGCATTTATACTTTCTTACAGATTTTCTCTTTTAATATTATTTCTCTCATTTATAGCTATTTAAATTAGAAAACAGAACTAAATTATTTCCTTTTCTTAGTCACTCCTTTTTATTTCATGTCAGAGTTTAGGAATTTTTCCTTATTCTGAACTCTTAGCTGAATTTTTATCTATACAAACCTTTTGAAATTACCAACACATTGCACTGTGGCTGGTCATTTGTAACTGGTATAAACTGCTCCCAGGATATGCTGTTACTCTCCACAGAAGCATTTCATATGAGGGAGAATATATACAGTCAATCACCATTATTTACAAATTCCCTACCTCCTAATTTTCCTACTTGCCAAAATTTATTTGTAGCCCCAAATCAATACTCACACCATGTCACAGTCACTCATGGACATGCACCAGAACAGTGAAAAATTTGAATCTCAGAGGTCTCCAGCTGAGGTTAAACAAGGCCACACTAACTTCTTGTTCCAGCTCTCAAAGCATAAATAAGTATCCTTTCCATGGTCTATTTAATGTCATCTTTTTCACAGTTTTGTGTTTTTTGGTGGAGATTTTGCTGTTTAAAATGGCCATGGACCCCAGAGATGATGTCGAAGAGCTGTCTTGAGTTCCTAGGCACAAGAAGGCTTCAAGTATCTCCCAAGGAAAATGTGTTAGATAAGCTTCATTCAGACATGAATACAGTGATGCTGGCTGTGAGTTCCATGTTAATGAATCAACAACATATTTTAAATAATGTGTTTTTAAACAGAAACATGCATAAAAGTAAGTTATGTATTAATCTGTTGACAAAAATGTTGGGGCCAAAGGCTCACAGGGACCTTAACCTATATTTCTCCTAGGAGCAATGGTTCAGTATTCACTAATACAGTGTTTGCGGTGACTTCACAGAACATAACTACCATGAATAATGGGATTCATTGCATATATCTATACACATATGTATATATGTTATGTGTGTATATGTACATATATAAATATATGTGTATATTTATGTATGTAGTTAAATAGTCATCCAAATATATTTGAATGGTGGATATAAAAACTGAATACACATATATGTCTACATTTAAGAAGATCAAACAAAGAGATAGGAGGGAAAGCAGAAAGAATGGAGTAAAAAGAAGGGAGAGATGAGGAAAGAATATGAATTAGATATTCCTGCACTGCCTTCATGTTCTCCGAACTGGGTATTGCCTCTACATATTTTGTATGTTAAGTACATACAAAATAATCATGATAACTAATAACAACCACAAATTGGGATGATTATTATAATAAATGCAAGGATGATGAAGAGGAATAGGATGATGAATTTCCTGGGCACTTATATTATGCCAGGCTTTGTGTTCAGTAAAATTTTGTGGATGATTTTTCTCATTCTTAACAACTTCATGAATATGGTGCAATTTTATCCTTATTCCAGATGACAAAAAAATTGGATGACTTAGGCTCCTGAGGGGTCCACAGATGGCAGAAAGGGATTTAAATTAGGCACTCTGATCCAGTAGCACCTGAACTACAACCTATCCTAATTCACCATAATTTGTCTCCCCAATTGTGAATTATTAGAAACTTATGTAGAGTGCATGTCAGGAAAGGGCTGTTGGATATTAGGATATCAAAGATGAGCTATAAATCTGATCAAAAGCTATTTTGTACTTTTTTAGGTCTTATCATCATTCAAACATAAGCTTTTCATGAATGAAGTTAGGAAGGGTTACTGATACAGAAGAATGATTTCCCACACTGGTCCTCTCAGATGCATAAAGACAAAGAGTAGGTCAAAACCCAGACTCACATGAAAATTATAGATAAAGTTAATTGGCAAGATTTCCCACACGTTACAGAGCCTGGGTTTTGAGGTCAGACAAATCTAAGTTCTAATACAAGTCTTGCATTTCCCTAGAGTTACACAGTTGGGGCCAATTAGGCTCAGTTTTCTCACCTGTAAAACATGTGTAAAAATACCCACCTCATAAGGGTTGCTGGTGGTGGGAAGGTTAAATAAAATACTATTTCTAAAGCACTTTTCAAGAGTATAGCAGGTAACAGAGAGTACTCAAAATGGCAATTACAATTATTAATAGAATATCCTATCGCTTCCATTGCGGCTCATCCTCTGATTAAACCAAATATTCCAAATTGCCAAAATACTCTAACAGTTTTATGAACAACATTTTCGCAATGTAACAAGAAACAGAAGAAAAACAGGGGCTAATATTTTTAAAAGTTTGATACCATCAGAAGAGAATACAAAGATTGAAACTTCCAACTCTAAAGTGATTTTTCCCTCAAGTTAAACTGGAGGTGCGTAATTGAAAAATGCTAAAAAATGTTTGTTCCTCAAAGTAGTTACAGGCACCTTCTGACAAGCCAAAAAAAGACAAGAAAATCAAGCAGCTCAGCAAAACTCCTCCTGTCTCCTTCCCACGCCCTTCACTACAAAATCTGTTACTTAAGAAGCATGTGTAAATCACACCGAAAAACACAGGCCACACGTGTTTCCCTAAACAACAAAAAAATTTAGTGTCTCATATTAAATTTATAGAAACCTTGGACATTTTACTTGCTGTGAATGCACAGAGGAAAGGCCTTGAAATGCCCCCAAATAACCCCAGATTTCTCACATTTTCTAATGACATTTTAAGTGAATTTACACATCCTGTTTACAGTGAATACATCCTACCAGACCACTCCCTTCTTCACACAATGCCTTTAAAGATCAGAGCCACTTACCCACTGTTGATGTCATCAGCCCTGAGACTTTTCCCAAGGATATCACCATCACTCATATATCCACCAACATCGACTTCAGAAGACATGTCCAGGTCGCTGCTTGCTTTCTCATTCATGTCAATTTGTGACATGTTTCCCAGACGAGAGACAGCAGCTCGACGGAGAGGCGTCGTGTACATGAACCTTGAGGGGTCTGTATGGATAAACCGACTGGTACCGCTGCGAGAGTAGCCAGCACCCAGGGAGGGAGCATCTCCTGCCTGAAGTCGAGGACACGCCTGGCCCAACCTCCAGGTCATGGGAGTGGGCCGACTTGTCAAGTTCGGTATGGTCCTTCCATTCACTTCCGTCGTCACAGTGCTGTCAAATGTTGTTTCCAGGGTGCTGTCAAACAAAATTGAGAAATAACTATACTCTGGTTCACTTGGGGCCACAGACCAAGAATGGATGAAGACAGTAAATGCTAGAGTTGAGGGTTATTTCTTAGGAGTGTGTCATTTTCATGAAAACCAAATTATATGTTCATTTTGAAATTCAAATCTACTTCGTAGATGTCAAAATGTGGGAAGGGACATTTATTTCCAGTTCTTTTTGTTTGTTTGTTTTCAAGAGAAAAGCCATCATTATGCTTTGGATAAAGCAAAATATTGTTTCACATTATCAGCAAACCTTTAACTTACCCCCTATAACCTTTCCAGACTTATTGTGGAAGTTAACTACTATTACGTTTAAATGTCTCCTTGCCGCCCCTCCCTAGATGCCTTTCAACAGCAACTTCTGCCACTGTTCTCTAATGCACAAGCATGAACGTCCGCTTGGGAGTGATGGTGATAGTTGCAGTAGCTATTTTTGTTTGAACAGGAAATTATACTGAAGAAGAGATTGAGAGATTGATAGGATATAGAGACAGAGATAGGTATATGCTGAGAATTTACAGTTGCGGTTAATCACCAATTGATTCGTATGTAAAATTTAAGTGAGAAAATAGTAAGGGATAACTGAAATCGCTTCTCTATCATTATAACAAAAGTTAAGTGCTTGATTGTAATTTTTTTTCTTTACTGGCCAAAAGATACACAGAATTGAGAAAAACCTGTGGCTTATCTGTGTCCCACGAAGACTGGACATAGTCTCTTCTAAATTCTGCCTCAAATCTGCTATGTTTTTGACTGTTCGCATTCTTCTTGTTTCAGGGTCTTCACCTAGGAAAGTACCATAAAAATAAATTTGCTATTCATGCCATATACTGTCCTCAGAATAATCACATATACAGATAAATAATATAAATCCCTCTTTCTAAATGTAAAAAATAGGTAGGAAATTCCAAATGGCTATTATCATCTTTCTACAAATTATAAATCTTTCTAGAAATAAAATGTGAATAGAAACAAATATAATATCACAAGTAATAATTTTTAAGAAGTGATAACAGAATAATACTTTGGTAGGCTTATGACCTTAACTGCAAAATGAGGGACTCGCTTTGAAATATAATGTAGAGTACTCCTTGTTACTGAGCTTAATTTAAAAACCTATGATTATTTGGATCCTAATTTTTTAATGATTACCTGTTTCTAAGTATACTAGGAATAACTGAGATAACTTTCCTTATATAGCAAGCATACACTTGGACCCTGGGGAATAAGCTACAGGCCTTTTCTTATAGAAACAATGGCTTTTTAAGTCTTTTATTTTATTAGACTCATGGACCAAGATTCACAACATTGGATGGCTTTAATCATTTTTCAAGTTTTTACAGGCAATCAAAGCATCCACACCAATGACACCAGAGTTGATGTAAAGTCCTAGGCATCTAAACCCAACATGTTTTTGTCTAATGGGCATGAAACAAATAGCTCTGCCAGTATGACAAATGCTGCCCTTGTACAATTTCACTTATCGGTTGGAGGCAGAAATGCCATTAAACCATTTTGTTTATGGCCATGCAATATTTCACAAGCCAGTGGTCATTTGAAGTTGGTAAGTCTGGACAAAAAGAAGAACACGGAAAGAGAGTAGTGGAAGCATAGCTTTTATTCTGTTCAATTTGGGCTGAGGAGGATGTCTACTAATGGGAATTTTTAATAAAAAAGAAAGACAGAAGAAAGGAATGAATGAAGGAAGGAAGGAAGGAGAGAGGGAGGCAAGGAGCGAGGGAGGGAGGATGGACTGAAATAGATGGATTGATGGGAGGGAAGGAAAGAAGACGAGAGGAAGAAAGAGGAGGCCAGAAAAGGATGGTAGGGAAGGGAAGGGAAGGTAATGGAAGGAAGATGGAAGAGAGAGAAAAAGAGAAGAAAAAAAAACAGCACATATTAAATTATACTATGAAAATTGTCACATAGACAAGTCAAGATGCATATCTATAATCTGTTTTAAGACTATAAGTAACTATTCAACCTGTTATTAATAATTTACTCCTTAGCATTAAGGCCAGACTTTTTAAAATGTATAACAAATGTGCCCATTTAACATTTATCATCACAATCATAGAGTTGGTGGGGATTTTGGATATTGTCTCACCTTACCTCTTGGCCACAGAACTCATCTATGTCTCACAGGGGACAAGGCCATCTGCCTCTGCCCGAAACCTTCAACATTGGAAAGGCCTCCCCCTCTCCAGCAAGAGAGGGCTCCTTCCAGTATTAGACAGGTCTAATTGTGGAAACATTTGTGGGTGATAAGCAATAATTTGTCTCCCATTAATGCCCACCCAGTGATCCCAGTGGCTCTGAAACCAGCTGAACAAATTTATAACCTTTACCATGGCAGCCACTCAAATAGTAGAAGACAATTGCTAATCCCTTTATTAACTTTTTCAGCCAAACATTACCATTTCGTTCATTATTCCCCATCTTGGATGGTTGCCACAACAGCCACTATTTTGCTGCCAGTCTATACATTTCTTCCCTTTAATTTACATATTATTTGAACAATTTAAAAATGCCTAATAATAGCATTATAATTTCAAACTTACAAAGTACTGAAAAGCTTCCCTAAAGTAAATATATTTTTTTAAAAAAATAGAAAAATACATGTTGGGACCTCATGCCCATGGCATAAGCTTTTTCTTCACTAATTCAGGTCATGCAATCTCTAATCCTGTAGATTAACATTCTTTTACAACTCAGAGCTATTAATAATCCTTGAGACTATGACCATATTCTGCCTGGAAAATCTTCCCATGCCTCTCATGCATATAATACAGTTTATTTGAGAAATGGCTCTAAAGAAGTCTACCTTTCACTTACAAAAAATCTGACAGAATTTTGAAGAAAATGGAGGGTTTTGCAGGGAAAATCGTAAAGGGTGGACAGAGAATATCGTTACAGTCAAAGGAAAGGCAGAGGCGAAGAAGAGATATATTCAAACCACATCAAAAGAAATAGTGAAGAAGGGGACAAAATTGGAGAAGCACTAAATCCAAGATTCAGTATATAGAATTTAATGTAGTATAGAAGTCTTAGATTCTAGCTGATGGTGAAAGATGAGAATTAGAAAACTAAGAGAGCATTGAGATAATTTATTTTAGAGGGAGGGGGAATGCTAGTCACTGACCTCATACATGTTTCTAGAATACATCATCATCCCTGAGCCCTCTCCCCCTGGGAGAACTTTTAAGTTGTAATCAAACTGCATATTGATCACTTGCTGACTGGCGTAATATTAAAAATTAATATTTGTATTATGTTCAATATGTATTAATTTAAAAAATATTCTAGTTTTAGACATTCTGTTTCACTAAATATTTTTTTCACATTTACTTCATATCCTTTTAAATTTCCTTTTTCTAATCTAACAAGCATCTTAGATTCTTGGACTCTTCCACCTGAATTCATTGTTTGTTTACATGCTTTCCCTTGTGTTTCAGAACCTCAGCCTCCCTCCCTCCCTTGGTTTTCCTCATCATGACATCCACTCCTGACACTGCACCACTCCTGACAATCAGACAAATGGACCTTCTCCTCCCAACACTTACTGAGCAAAACATAATTGCTACCTTACTCCTGTCATGAAAAATAATAACCAAAGAAGAATTTATTGCAGTAAATGTTTTCAGTGACCCACAAAAGGCAAGATGAAACTAAATGCACTTAACAAACCCCCTAAGGATTGATTGCACAGTCTGAAATATCCTATACATTTGTATCCAAATTATGTGTGGAGGCTTTGAGGAGGGAGGGACATAACTGAAAAAGCTAAATATAACAGCACAAATAAAATCAAATGTTTAGTAACAATAAAAGCAGAAAAAACGCACATGAGAAATGTATTTAATCAACAATACGTTGTATCCACTCCCACTTGCATAATCTCAAAGTCAACTATTCTTCTTGAAGGAGGCTTCCTATGTGTCAGACACAATGGTAAGTACCATTTTCCAGAATGGCATATTCCAAAATCCACTTGAGTTTTTAACATTGGTGCACATTGCTTTCTAATTGCTTATAAGGCCTTCTCTATGAGTAGAGCACAGAATAACAGACTTAGTTTGGTGCTTCTCATTATTATTTAGTGACAGACCACTTAATCTGTGTGATCTCACTCTTACTTTTTAGGTTTCAATTATACACATTGTAATCAACATTGCCAGCGCTGTGGTCTTTCAATAGTAAATTAACTTGTATATAAATGAACCTGATTCAAAGAGAATCAACGTCCTCCACCCCATCCATATTACAAATGTTATTTAGAATTATCACTGCCTGATTTATTTTGAGAATTAACTACAGTTTTGTGAATGACCCCAACCGACAGTGATTTGGATGAAAAATTTTAAAATCGTATGGTTAATCTTGATATTTTTGCGAAAAACAGCAAAATATGGTCAACAGCTTTATAGTGACTTTTTAAATATTCTCCTAAACAGTTATAGCACAAGCCCCAGTCTGTCTGATTTAGTAGGATATCCAAGAATAAAGAGTAAAACTCAAGTAACCCTGCCTAAAAACTAACTTGGAAGAGGCCATTTTGTGTCATAAGCAGAACCTATTAAAGCACGTGGCAGAAATTTTAAAATTCCTGTGTGCCGTGGGCTTGGATATATTCACCAATTTAACGTGTACCATTATTTAGGGAACTGCATCAGAATGCTTCATTATCTGGAGATATGATTATTCATATCACAGCTATTTAAATAAATTCTTCCCCTTACTTTTCACTTGCATTTTTGAATATTGGCATAAGTGAAAAAAAAAAGAAAAAAAATCCTTAAAGAGAACAATCATGTAAGTACAGTAAGCAGATGTTCCATTTAAAAACCATGGCTTACAGAGTTCTATTGAGAGTTTACCCTCTGACAGTAATGCTCCAAGTTATTTATGCACAAAAAGGCATGTGTCATGTATACACCCACCCACAGTATGCTATAATTTAACAGAGCAACCAAAAAATACTGTCTGCACCCTGTTCATATCCTTGTAAATACTTACATAAGAGGTACTTAGAACAAGATAAAAGATAACACTTTAAAAGCAAAAGATGAATGACTATTATCTGATTCTACAGTTCCAGAGGATCAAAAGAAGAAAAAAGGTTCATAAAGATTAAGACTTTCTCTCGCCTTTGTACTGCACACAGATCTTTAGGAAAAGCAGTTCATCACAGAAATCACACAACGGTGAAGAAGTAAATCTTTAGTGTCTGAACACCTGGCATATTCAGATTCAGAAATCACTATTCTTAGAACTATGAAAACATTACTCTTTTAAAACCAAACTGACATGAAAAATTGAGCAATATTTGCCTCTGCTATCTCTCTAAGCTTTCTTCTTCTAAAGTTGCTTCACTAAAAGCATCCAGAAAATATCATGAAACATCTTGTAACAGGAGAGTCTATATAAAGAATAAGTACAAACCTGTATTTAGCATCAATTGCATGAATCAGATATGAAGAGATCACTGGCCAGGTTTAATTCTTTTGAATTTAAGTAGCCTCATAACAAGTTCTTTGTGGAAATACACGTTGACATGAAATATGATGTGGTCAATGGTTTAATACTTAAGTACTTTTTGAAGAATGGACTGTATGATGTAAATATAGTTTGGTAGAGTACTGAACTTAGAAATAACAATTAAAATATACACATTTTAGCTGTTGAGGCAAGTGGCAAAATTGCTATTTAAAGTTTAAACACAAAACTGAACAATTGCTTGATATCTTCATACCTAGTTAGATTATGTGAGAGGTTACTGCTGAAAC